GTGAGCATCCTGAGTCCAAGTACCATTGATCCTGTAATCTTTCTTCATCTCTTATTGTAACCATCAACAACATCTCTTCTTCTTCATGTTTCGCCAGTTTTGTATCAGTTTCTTAATTCTTCTTCTTTTCTGGACAATCACTAAACTAGTGACCATACTTCTGACAAATGTAACATTGAATGTGACTTTTATCAGGTTTTCAAACACCACCCCTTCCTCTACCTGCAACACCACCTCTTTGGTTGCCTTGGTTCCATGGTTTTCTCTGATTCGACCAATTTCCTTCTTATTGATTTTGACCAGTCGAGTTGTTGTAACCTCTTATTCCTTTTTTGCCATTCCAACTTCCTTTGCCTTTCTTTTCTTTGCTGATTGCGCTTGCAAAGCCATATCACTCTTTGACTTGCCTGCAACTCTTTTAGCAATCCTTTGTTCATAAGATTCAAGCGTCCCTTTAAGCTCTTCCTTTGTCAATGTTGATAAATCTTTCGACTCTTCTATGGCTAGTACCACATGGTCGAATTTTGGAGCCAATGACCTCAAGATTTTTGCAACAACTGATCTTGATGTTAACGCTTCTCCACATACCTTGATTTTATTCACCAATTTAGTAACCCTAGTAAAAAATCCATTATGCTTTTGTTGTCTTCCATCTGAAGCAATTCATACGTCCTTTTGTGAGTTTGTAACCTCACTTCTTTCACCTTTTCTGTACCTCCAAATTATTTCTCAAAGATTTTCCATGCTTCTTTCGCCGATTCTACATCATTAACCTTTTCAAAATTATCTAGATCAATGCATTGATGAATTATAAAGAGAGATTTATAATCCTTCTTCTTCAATTCTTTGTATGCAACCTTTTTTTTATCTGACGCATTTTCTACAAGCAATGTTATTCCTTCCTTAACAAGATCCCAATGATCTTGATAACAAAAAACCACTTTCATTTGCTTGTACCAATTCTCATAATTTCGACCCTTCAGAATTGGGAGACTCGCCGGAAAATGCCCGTTCGGATAATTCATCACCATCGTGATTTTCTTCCCACAAATCGATCAGTCAGTGCTCTAGATACCAAATGTTTGAATTAACCCAAGACTTTGAGTAATTCTGAATCAATCTTGATCAACAAGATTCCATCAACCAATCGAAATCCATTGTTCTTCACTCTTCACTTGAGTGAATCAATCACACATTAATTGCAAGAATGATTATGTGCAGCAATTGTTAATGGAAGAAGAAAGAAAACCGATTAAGGAAGAAGATTAGGGTTTAACAAAATAGGGAAAGAGGTGGATGATTTATGCAGAGTAACTCTCTGCTCTCAAACTGAGAAAATATTATTCAACTGTACAACTGCACTTTTTGTTGTGTGTTACAATATTATTCCCTATTCTTCTTACTCAAAGTAAGGGTTACCCATTATATTTATAATTAAGCTACCTTGCTCCCTAAGGCAAAGCCCAAATTTACAAAAGTCCAAAATTTCTATTTTGGTCTAAGTCGAAATCTTGTGCGAAGCAACCTGCTTCGAGATATCGACATCTAACACAACTCGACACTCACTACATTAGGCTAATTTTCACACATCCTTGTTTCTGTCGAGCTACATTTGCTTCGTCACAAGGAATTACAATCTTAACATATTTGTCATGATTTCCATTTACTAAAGGATTCTTCAAGACTAATAAATTATTATTTGTTTCTAAGATGATCAGTCAAAAAGATAAATATATAGGAGACAATCATATGACAAATTAGTCACTAACTTCATATCACCATACACAAAATATTACTTTCTCGTTAGATTTCACATTGATCAACACAAGGATTTTTAACTCGTGATGAGCAAAGAAAATACAACAAAATAGGTTCACAGGTTCAACATTTTTAAATAATAAAGACAAATATTAAACATAAGAATGACACTTCAACTACTTACAACCTTCAACCAACAAAATGTGTTGTGTGTCACACCTAATTGTGCAGTATTCCTTTTGTAGTGATGGGACAGGAGGCGCATCAGACTCTGGTTCTTCCTTTTTTCTTTGTTGCTAACTCTTTTTGTCTAAATTTCTGAACCTTTATCTCATTCTGATATAGATCCTTTTATAGACACTTATCAACTTTGGTGTTGTCTCCAAACTTGGGTCTTGAGCCTCTTGATTATTCAACAATTTCAACATAAGGAATATGACATATTCCATTGTCTGCTAGTACTAGTACTATAGCAGTACACAACACAAGAGGGAGACAAAATGTTTCAAAGTAGGTCTTTAATACTGGTGGGTGGCATGTGGCAGCGTACAAAAACAACTTTTTAGAACCTTGCCTTCTAATGTTCATCCTTATCCATTTAACTTTACAACTCAACCCTAATATTTTTTGTCTAAATTCTGGAACATTAGTCCTGGCATTATAATTCAAACCTTTTATTAGCATTTTTCTGACTCTAGGCCTGCTAAGTATTAGAGTTAAATATCTAGTGTGACAAAAATTGTCACCAAAGTTACTTTGCCATATCAATAAACACATAAAAACTACAAGAAATAACACTTAGTATGCTCAATACTAAATATGTTAAATATATAAAAACACAAATAGGTAACTCTAATTCAACATAACTTTACTAAATAATTAAAGTAATAAAAGATTAAATATCTCAAAATAAATATGTTATTAGTAAACCTAACCTATTTATAACAGAATCCATCTAAATGATAAGATGAACATCATTCCACGAACAATGAGAATGAATCCCTAAATCAATGATAGCCTGACTATCCACGTAACAATTACCTTTTTCGATAACCATATGAGACGACAAAAGACATAAATTTAGAGAGAAAAACACAATTGTTCCATCTGTTTGTTAGTCACCAAAGAACAATGTTGGAATATTATAAGGCAAAAGTGGATAATTTCGAGTCCGTTTCAACCCAAAGGTGGAACCATTTTATGTGATAGGTCGTTTTAATGGAAACTATTATGATAAATAGCTCAATATGGAGGGAAAAATGAGATGCAAATATTTTCAAACAAAGCAACCAAGGGTATTGCATCATGATTTTGAAAAATATATCCACAATCTACATGGCCGGGATGTCAAAGGCAACACCATTCGCATTACATTAAATCCAACCAAAGCAAGAAGGATGTTGGGGGAGGTTTTTCACTAGGGAGCATTAAGCATTATGGGACTTCCTTTTCTTGAGCAACACTTTTGTGAGATACACACCACATATTCACCCAAAATCTTAAGATAATGTGTGTATGAGTTCTCTCACTTATAAATGCTCAAGTTATCACGTTCCTATTCAATGTGAGACTATTATCCACACTACTCACACTTGCTACATTCTCAACACTTCCCCTCAAGTGTGAGTCCACAATGCTCCCCATCAAGTGGAAGAAGCTCTTCTTCCACAAACTCTTGCGTCACACAAAATGTTTCTTACTCACCACCTTTGTGGTGTCGTTAACACTCTTCAACTGAACGTTTCTTACTCACCACCCTTGTGGTCGATACAAGTAAGTCGATCCCTTTCTCGGACCAAAGGCTCTGATACCATGTGTTGGGGAGGTTTTTCACTAGGGAACATTGAATATTGTGAGACTTTCTTTTCTTGAGTAGCACCTTTGTGAGACACACACCACATATTCTCTAAAAATCTTAAGATAATAGGTGTATGAGTTCTTCCACTTATAAATACTCTAGTAAGCACATTTCTATCTAACGTAGGACTATTATCCACACTACACACACTTGTTACATTCTCAACAAAGAAGACCACAAAACGTCAAAAGTTTTAAAACTCTTAAGAAACATCAATTGAGTTTTGAAGGACTTTAAAATGGTGGATTCAATTATGAAGCCAACATAGGTCGAATTGGTTGGTAAAACTCTTAGCCAATTAGATATTTGCCACAACCATGTTTGTAGCAGCTTTCCAACCTATTTTTTTTTATTGTTAAACCTTTTGATTTCTAAAGTATCAAACCACATTAAAGAAGTCGATTATTGATGACAAGGAAAACCAACTTCTGTCGCACACATCATAATAGAATGTGTGGTAGTTAAATTAAAGTTTAGATTAATAATATCTTTAAACCAATACCAAAATTTTAAAGTGAATGATCGAACAAGAATAAAACAAATGACTATTAAATTATGAATTAACTAAAAAAATTATAAATTAAGAAAAAACTCAAACCTTTATTTAATAAATTTTTTTCGATGAAAATCTTGACATGAAAAAGTAACGACTGCGATTTTATCTAATTTTTTTGTATGTTAAATAGTCTCATCTTTAAAATTGTAATTTATTAAACTAAAAGATATTTTTATACAATTAGAGGGGAAATTATTAAATCATGTGTGCACGAGAGAGACTACAATCCACATGAGTCACACTTATGAACACATTTCTCTAAAAGTTTATTTTTAGAAATATTTAATTTGATTTGAATTTAACAAATTAAATAAAAAATTATTTTGGAGTTGATTGGATTCGATATGAAACTGAAACCTACCTACCCACAAACTCAACACCTAGAAGTAGAAGTAGAACCATAAAGAAAACTCTTTTTATTTAAAAAATCGCTAGAACCAAATGAACCACAACCGTTGATTGTTTTTACCCTAATCTTTGATTGGTCATTAAAGCATCATCACGAGTTTCTTCCCCGAAAAAATCACATTCAATGGCGCTAATAACTGACTTGTCATTGTTGAATAAAAATAAAAAGAAAACTAAAAAAGAGAAAGAAATTAAGAAAAATGAAACAAAAATAGAGGGAAAATTAAACTAAAAGAAACAGAAAAGAAACAAAATAGAGAGCGTGAAGAAAAGTGAGAGACTGAGAAGTGAGAAGACTCTGAACAAAACAAGAGCGAGAATTTCACTTTGTTTTCAGATCTTCAATTTCTTCACTCAATTTCAACCTTCAACGCATCTTGAATCTTCTTGTAGCTTTTGATTGAGTCCTTTTTGTTTGCTATGGACCAAGTAAGTTCAATGCATCTGATTTTTAGGTTTCGTTTTTCACTTCGTTTTGCTTCAACACTCTCTGATTTTGATTTTTGTGAATTTCGATTTTGCAGTATGAAAAGGTTGAAAAGATTGGTGAAGGAACTTACGGTGTGGTTTACAAGGCTCGTGACCGTGTTACCAATAAGACTATAGCTTTGAAGAAAATTCGACTCGAACAGGAGGATGAAGGAGTTCCTAGCACTGCTATTCGTGAGATTTCTCTTCTTAAGGAAATGCAGCATAGGAACATCGTTAGGTATAAATTAGTACAACTCTCTTTCTGTTTATTTCTATGTTAAGTTAATTTTATGATGTGAATCGGAAGGTTAAAGAGGTTTTTATTTTGTTAATTGGTATTTTTTGATTTTTAGAATTTTTAGTTTGATGTTTAATGTTAAGTTGGATCTGAAAAACTATTGATGCTTATCATTATAGTGCTCCAGATCACTGAAATCTCAGTAAAAATGCATGTACATGTTAGTGTCCGAAACCGACACGGCACTTTTGATTATGTTTAATTAGTTAATTAATTTTTTTAAACTTATTACCGGTGTTGACGTGTCAATGTCGGTGTCGTGTTTCTGATGTCCGTGCTTCATAACAATGAATGATAGAAGTTGGCTTGATATGGTTCTTCATAAGGTCTTGAGGATTGTTTCTCGTAGTTTCTATGCTATGTTTGAAGTTTTAATTATATTTTCTATGTTTTTCTAGGTCTTGAAAATGCTATTGCCATTGTGTGGTTAGTGTTGTTTGTTGTTATGTGTTTGTTTTCTGTGTGCCTGTGTTGATGTTTGATATTGGCAACCAATCCTTATCTGGCTTGGTGGGGTTGGATGTGTGGATCAACTAACAATCTGTTTTTGATAGTTTGAGTCCATTCTGTGAATGTTCATGTTTGGCAAACTGGTCGAGCGATTGGTAAAGCTTTCTTAAGTACTTGTTGGATGCCTTTATGCTCTTTATTGTTCATGTAGTTGGGGGTGATTGTAGAATGCATTATCAATTGTGTGAACAATTTCATTATTGAGTATTACTCTTGAACTTACTAAATTCCTATATTTAATGTACTATGAGACATGGGTACAACTTTATCTGTTATAAAAGCTTTCCGGAAGGCATACTTTTGTGGTGCCGTGTAACTTTTTTTCAATGAATCATTTTCTTTCAATTATGATGCTTTGTTAAGTCTTATTCTGAATTTGTAGCCATTTCCTTCTCAAGATATGCTTGGTGGTTGTTTGTGTGGATGACAGGTTGCAGGATGTAGTGCACAGTGAGAAGCGATTGTATCTGGTTTTCGAGTATCTGGACTTAGATCTGAAGAAGCATATGGATTCATCCCCCGAGTTTGTAAAAGATCCCCGACAAGTAAAAGTGAGTGGCTTCTGTTATTTTCTTATCTCTCCCTCTCTGGGTTTCTTTTAAGATGTCACTCATGCTTTTGTAACTCAAGTTAATAATAAAAGAGGTGTCAAGAATCTGATTTGGCTATAAATTTTATGGTTTTCTTATCCTATGTCTTGTCCTTCCACAAATCAAATTTAAAAAATGAGAGTGATTGATGAATGCTTATAAGCTTATGGTTGGCAACGAACAGTTTAGTTTGTCAAATTGCAGATGTAAATATAATGCATTTCTCGCAAGTTTCATGACTAGTTGCAAGTAGATTACAGTTTCTTGATTTGATTATGCTTGACCAATAACATTTTGGTTGGATCTGCCTTATGTTTATAAATCAAGTTTTTCAAATACTATTTCATGTAGATGATAAAATAGAGCTGCGCTGTTTATAAATCAAGTTTTTCAAATACTAGTTCAAGTGTTTGCTCAACTGCCTCATTACATTAATGTACTATCCAAGTGTATCTAGTTATTTATGTGCTTTTACCTGCCGTTCCTATCCCTCCCTTCCCATTGTTTATATTTTAACTTCTTGTTTAAGTATTTCCTCATTACATTCATAATTAATATATAATATGATTAGAAAGTAGAGCTGCTAATTTTTGTGAACTTGGCCAGTTAATTTGGATTTTGAATTCTTTAATGATCCGTCTGCAGATGTTCCTTTATCAAATGCTCTGTGGAATTGCTTACTGTCACTCACATAGAGTTCTTCACCGAGACTTGAAACCACAGAATTTGTTGATAGATCGCCATACTAATTCTCTAAAGCTTGCAGATTTTGGATTGGCCAGGGCATTTGGCATTCCTGTCAGAACATTTACACATGAGGTTTGTGTGCTTCCTTATATTTGCTTATAGTCGTTCATTCAGGTATCCACAAACTAAAAAAAGGAGAGTAGACATGAGTGAAAAATATAGTCCTCCTCTTGCTATTATTAGAGAGGAGTCAGATGACCAAAAGAGTGTCACTGCATGAACCAAGAGGAAAGTGTATAAGAGAAGAAAATGGAAGAGATAAATTATGGAGCACATGAAAATAAGTGGGCAGAATAAGAGAACAAAAAGAAACAAGAATCACAAATAAATGAAATAGATAATTAAGGTAGAGAAAGGAATGGAATAAGAAAAGGAAAAAAAAAAGAAGAAAAAATGGATGGACTCGGGTGTAAAATACGAGGAAATGAAATGTAAAAAATAGAGGAAAACAAGAGGTTAGAATAGAAAGAATCGAAGTCTCTAGAGATGGGATGTTGCCACTTCTCTGGAGATGGATGAGGAAAGACTTGAGTGGAAATGGGGATTTAAACAAGGAAATGGGATTTCAACTTTCAAACTTTCTTGTGTCGGGTCGGGTTAATATCATCAGTTGAATCCATATCTCTTTCTCTGTGTTTTCTCCCTTGGTTTCTCTGCCATTTCCACGAGTTGTGCCCTGGGTACCATGAGAATGGTGGCGGCCACCTTGATCCTTTATTGCTAGGCTCATGGGTGCGTACTACTGTAAGCCCTCACTAAGTCTTCTAACAAGTCTCAACCTTGGCGTGGGGAAGCCTCCCCTTCCCCAAACTCTAGTTAACCTAGAAAACAGTGTGTCTATGGCAGATTGCGGAAAATTGTGGCAAGACAACAATCCGCCATAAAAATATGGTGGATGACAGAATGGAAAATTGCGGAAGCATGGAGGACAAAAAAATCATTATTATATGCTCACAAAAAACAGCAACAGCACCAAAAAATCAAAAAAGAATTCATATAACTTGAAAACATAATTATATATGGAAACAGAGTTATATAACTAGAAAACATTATATATCATGGGTTTTGGAATATTACTTGGGGTATGTCTTAAGTAACTCAAAACATCATAAAAGACATTATAAAACAAAACAATAAAACATTATAAAATCTCTATTCTTCTTCTCTAACTTCAACATACTCTTCAAAGTTATTATCAAATGGGGCGTGTCTTTCATTCTCTTCTCCAGAATCTTCATAATCTCCCAATTTCATCATCTTAGCAAAGAACAGAGAAAGAAGTGAAAATGACCCGTGAATGAAGAAGAAAAGTCTATTTATTACATGAGAGAATAGAAACAGAGGGAGAAGAGGAAAAGTCTAGAGAATAGAAACATTAGGAACGTCAGAATGAAAAGGCTGAAATGTTTGGTTTATAAAAAATTAATTAGGGTGGTGATTAGTATTTAATGATAAATATTAGTATTTAACCACAATTATCCTTCTTCTAGGTCATTTTAATGGTTGGGTAAAAAAAATCCCAATAATAAATATTCAGATTTAAAAAAAAACGCAATCTCCGCAATGTGCCATGAGCGATAAACTCGTGGCGGCCGCAATGCAAAATCTGCAACGCCACAGCTTTTCCATGGCGGAATGTTGAATTTCCGCAATCTCAATCTGCAATGGCCACAATTTAACAACAAATGAGAAAACATAAGTATAATCATTTTGAATAAAAACAATTAAATTAACTAAGCGTATTAGGAGTACATGTAAAGTCTTGCGTAAAGGTGTTATTAGATATGGTAAACATATTTAATATTGTTTCTCTGTCATTGATGATTGTTTGTAGGTAGTTACACTATGGTACCGAGCTCCAGAAATATTGCTTGGATCTCGTCATTATTCTACCCCAGTCGATGTTTGGTCAGTGGGATGTATATTTGCAGAGATGTCAAACCGACGACCTCTATTCCCCGGGGATTCCGAGATTGATGAATTATTTAAAATATTCAGGTATCTTTATTTCTGTAAGTTTATACTTGGTAGATCATTTAATTATCTATCATCAGATAATGCATCTTTTATTGACATTTATAATGTTCAATTAATTATTTTTATATTAAGTAAAGTCTATAGAGATTTCACGAGTTTATGTGGACTCTTGAGTTTGACAAGGCAAATGATGAAAAATATGAATGGTATTGTACGATATGATTTACAATATGCCAGGAAGGTATTGTGTGATCAATGTAGTTGACCTGACTTAGTGGGAAAAGGTTTTTGTAGTAGTTACTGAGGTGGATGTTCGTCCCCTTTAGAATCTAACAGTTGTGCTAGTTTTAGTATAAATTGCAGTCACGGCACGGTTACTGCTCAAACTAAAATTGTGATTGACTCTTGAAATTTTCAAGCCGAGCTTTCATTTTTAGTTATTTCTTCAACATTTCTTGGCATCCTTTGCAATCAATCATTATAGTCTACATTTAACTACAAAATTGGTTAGCTTTGTTTTTGTTTAAGTTTCTGTCTCGTTTCATTGTGACTATGGCTGGACTTTGAGACGTGCAATCTCTTGTTTCAATTGATAAACATGATTAGCTTTAAAAGAAAAGAAAAAGAAATGAATTACGAACAACTGTCTTGATTGTAACTGGACTTTCAGATGCGCTCGAATCTTGTTTCAAATGATAGACATGATTAGCTTTAAAAAAAGAAAAATAAACGAAATATGAACTGTCTTGATTGTTACTGGACTTTGAGATCTGCAAGCATCTTGTTTCAAATGATAAACATGACTAGCTTTAAAAAAAAAAGAAAAAGAAATATGAACAACTTTGTCTTGATTGTAATCATTATGATTATTGTATTTGAACTTGTGGAAAACCAGCTATTCTATTAAATTTTATAATGAGTTCATTCAAAAATTTCTTTTGGTGAAGTAATGAAGAAAGCAAGACCTTTTTTTTTCCTTCTTTTTTTTCAGGATGTCATGGCTGTGAGGGAAGTGTTTTTCAGTGAGATTTGAATTCTGAGATAGCATTTCCTTCCTTTTGCTATTTTCCCTTCTTTTTAGTTTAGCCTCTCTTATTTACTAGCTGAAATGGATAGCGAAGGAGTTCTTAATGGTGATATTTTAATCTAACAATTTCTGTAGCATGCCATGAATTTATAAATTCTAGTTGACATAAACATCTATTAAATAGATTTGAAAAATGGGACCATAGGAAAACATTCCTTACTTTCTAACAGGGATGTATATAATAAATAATCAAATTTGCATATAGTTGTTATATATTTACAAATTGTTCTTTATATGAAGAATCTTGGGTACACCAAACGAAGATACATGGCCAGGAGTAACTTCATTGCCTGATTTTAAATCAACATTTCCCAGGTGGCCAGCTAAGGTAAACAAATTGCTATTTGTCCTTCATCTGAATTGATGTTATCGTATTTGCTATAATAATTCAACCTTATCTCATACTTTGCAGGACCTAGCGGCCGTGGTTCCAAATCTTGAGCCAGCTGGTCTTGATCTTCTTTCTGTAAGTGCAACATGTGATACAATATTCTTTTTCTTTGCCATTATTAACAATTAGTGCAATAAGCTTATGACTCATTTGCCCCCGACTTCAGTCTCTTAGGCCCCTCAGTCTGAGTCTGTGTTATTGGGATAAAACAAAAACTAGTTTATTTTGTTTTTAATCATCAGCCAACACTTTCTAGTTTGCTGAAAAATTAACAAAACCAGAGAAATATATTTAGAAGCAAAAATATAAAGATAAAAATTAGATGGTAGTCATCCTTTCTGATTCTGATCCTAGCTTAGAAAACACGATACTTCTTGATGTTAAAGATTAGTATCATTTATGGGGAACTAAGGCATTCTTACTATTACGCGTCTGAATCATAACAAATGACATACTTAATAAAAATAATGGGCAGTGCTCGAGATTTCCAGCCATTAAATTTTCTTTCTTTTTTTGGTCGTAAACATGGCAATTTTTATTTATATTTTCATTTGAACAAAACACCTGTGTTAGAATGTTTCAATGCGAGTGTTTCCCATCATTCTTTTAGTAATGTTAAAGCAATTGAAACCAGAGGGAAAATTTCTTTGATTATTAATCTTAAATGGAAATGCTAGTGCGGTCCTTAAATGCCCCATGTCTTTTTACATTTGTTTGTTCCCTCTTCTGGGTTTCAAGCTTGTTTTGGCATCCTCTGATTGGCGGAGTATTCCACTATTTAATTTATCTAAATGAAATAGATCCCATGTATTAACTTTTAATCCTCTATCAGGTTTTCCCTTTTCACGAATTGTTTGCATTTTGGATTTTAGATACCGAAGCATTTGTTAGTTTGTCTTGTATTTTGAATTTCATTATTTTTCTATGGCGCTGACCTTATTGTATATTTCATCTATTGTATTTCAGAGCATGATTTGCTTGGACCCCAGCAAAAGAATCACTGCCAGGAGCGCCGTGGAACATGAATACTTCAAAGACATTAAATTTGTACCCTAATTTCACATCTTAATGGTAAAGGTGTTTATAGCAATATGTGCAGAATTTATGATTTTTGATTTTGCATGAAATCCGTGTGCTATTTTTGTTATTTTCAACGACTTGGGATACTGTCAGATTTTAATTTTTTATCCTAAAATATTTCAGATTCAACTCAGTGTGATATGATAATTTTGCATATTACCTTTTTTTTTGTCCAATTCTGAATACTAACTGTTCAGTATGCTTGATTTATGATCATACTTCATGCAGAACCTATACATTGCAAGATGTAAACTTTTTCCAATGCATAATTATTATCTCAATGGGAAAGTAAATTTCAAAATCATATTTGCAAGCATTCCATATGGAGCCGATTTACCCTCAAAGATTGAAGGAGATTTCTTAATGCATTATATATATATATATTACTAAGACACTACGTAAAAATACAAAAATATCTTTAAAATTCGGAGATACATCTCCGGACGGCTCTAAATCAATATAAATTCGGTTTAATGTGAAAAAATTACATAGATGCATGTATGTGTTTTAAAATTTTTTGGATATGTATCTCCTTATCCGTGTTTACCGTATATATATTGGTGTGGTTCAGTAAGATGTATGGGATATGATTTGAGATATTTTAAAGATGTATTTCCGGATCACTTGTAATATTTTGACTTAAGATAATAGTGCGATTGGAGATGCATCTCAGGTATCTCCGAGGTATTTTGAATTTTTCATGGGTGTTTTATCTTTGAAATTCCCAAGACTAGACATAGGTTTATAAGGTCATCTTTTCATAACAGTGGCTCATAAAGGAAGTTACTTTTTCCACCTAGGTGCGAGTTCAAAATATTTTCAAAGATACATATTTATATCTATATAATTAATCTTAATTTGGATATACATCCTTGGACTCAATGTTCATTTTATACAACAAAAACTATTTTAAATTGTTATTTGTTTTTCTACTTTTGATGTGATAAAACATAAAATACTGTTTTGAATAGCAAAAGACGATTGAGAATGGAAGTAGGCTTTTTTTTTTATATAAATATTTTGATAGAATAGTTGTGTTTGATCGTGAAAAAGAAGAATCTAAAAAAATATTGTTTTATTTATTTTTCTGTTTGATATTTTTAAAAATATATTTCCAAAACCGTCACTAACTTAAAACAAGGGCGACTCATTTAACTTAAAACACAATACAACTTAAAACATAATACATTGATAATTTTAGACATGCATTTTCATATTAGTTTTTGATATAAACTAGATGAAAGAATAATATCGGATTTTTTAATACTCCATGAAAGTAATACCTCTCATGAATTGTTATCTTCCCATGGGGACCCTCATGTACTTGAGGGATACAAACTCATGCTATAAGAGGTGTATCCACTCCATCCTTGTTAAAGGAGAGAATAATTTGCCTCCTACCCCTACCCAAATATGTCAAACTTTCCAAATTATTCTTGGTCCTATTAACAAATCATATTCAAAATAATTCTTGACGTGCAAATTCAATATGATTTTATTGGAAAGCAAAGTTAAATTTGAGTTTGTTGGAATAGAATTATGTTTCAATAAACATAATTTGAAAATTTAATAAATTCTAAACTTAAACTAGTTTGGGGATGAAATGGACTGACATAACCAACACTAATAGAAATAGAAATGTATGCATACACCCACACTGACATTGTCCTACTCATGACTAAAATATATCTAAATACTGCACCATATACTATATATAACATTTTCACAAAAACTCATAATTGTGTTAAATATAACAAAATTACACAATAATCTATAAAATAAAAGTATAATCTTATTATTAAATAAAATAATAAATTATTTAAAATAAATATAAAACTATGATTAAATTAAAAGAAACCACCTAAATATAACTAACGAAAAAGACTTGAAAATACATTAAGGATGATTTATCAATTCACTTTCCACCACTTCAAGATGATATAAGTAGTACTTTTTTTCTCCAAACCCTCCATAAAATACATGTCCACTTCATTTACATTCATATTCTCACTGATATTTATGTCCTGAAATTCTAAATCCAATGTATTCTTCAAAACATTCTACAACTTTCTTATCTTATATAATTGGGTGGAAATTAACTTTGACCATCGAAAAACTTGTATTTATCAAACGTATCTTGTAAAGTATCATTATCTTATCACACAAAAAATCATCAACTTCCTTTGCATAAGATTTATTTAAGTCCCAATTAACAAATAAGATGAAGTACCACAATAATATACATTGTCCTGGGTTGAATATAGAGACTCCGATCGCCCACTCTAAATGAATTGTATTCTTTTTAAAATTTTCATAACACATAAGAACTCTTATCATGATAATTATAAAAGATCTCAATTATATTCACATTCAACTACTTTCCGTACTTTACTCCTTATAAATAGAGTTTCTTATCCCTTCTTTAATATATATATATATATATATATATATATATATATATATATATATATATATATATATATATATATATATATATATATATATATATATATATATATATATATATATATATATATATATATAAAATGCACCAAATTTAGATAAAAGAGTTCAAATACAATTTCAATTCACTTCTTTCTCACATACTCACTTGAGCGTTGAAGTGATAATCTTGTAGACCAACCTCCTTTCCACCGCGTCCAAAGCTCAGATCCATCATCACTTCCGATCCTCATTCTATTTTCGATTCTAGAATGGAAAGTGGCATCGTATGTGGATATCAATTTCTAATTCTTGCGTTCTTCACAATTCCATGATCACTTTTCAATTCACTAATTTGTAACCTTCTCAAGAGCCTTCAAAATCGGTTGTGAAGATCCATCGCATTCGATCTAATGAAGTATTGCTTTAACTATGTTTTCCTGAATTTCTAGATTTATGACTCCTACGATTTCCAGTAATTGACTGAATCTAAATCCATTCGCTCCGCCACTGCGCGAGAAGTTGTTGCAGTTGCAGTTCACTTAGGTATTAATCAATCATCTTCGCCTCCTCAGCGAAACATTACAAATCATGGAGAAGAAGTTCCGTTACATCCATATTTGATCCAAATTCCTCAATTATCTAGATCTATTTAAGCTCATCTGATCGCGTATTCGTTTCCACCATCGGTATCACAACCTGAAGCGTTATCTGACTTCAGTTACTACAAGCTAACCTTGGACTACAAGGCACTAACGAGATGATGAACAACATGTCTAACATCGTCCGACAACAAAATTCACAAGTGATAGAAGAAAGGTTATCCTGCCTTGAAGAAAGCCTTCAAAACGCGCCTCATCGAGGCAACCCCACTCATGAGGCCGCATCTCAAAGAACTCACACTATCGATCTAGATTCGAATGTGACAAAATGAGACGAATATCCTAAATCTAAGCATCATCAAAGGAGCAAGAAGCATCACAGTCCTCTATAAAGGCCCAAGGGAGACCGAAGAAGTCATGCTCCTCCTCCGTATCAGGCAGAAAATCGGTCGTCGAGGGTTCAGCAGAAACATCCATTGACAGAGTGTTCCCATAGAGAACTTATGACTCTGAAGACCATTCATTGGAAATCAGTGGTGGCCTCCTTGAGGGGTAATAATGCCAAACCAGAAATGGTGAACGCATTATTACTTTTCGACCTGAGAGCCCGAGAAGATGAGGATCTGTTAGGAGCCTCTTTTTAAGACTAGAACCCACATGTGAGAGGGGATGAGTTTTTATAGGAAACTTTGACCTTCATTCTACTCGGTTTTCTTGTGTTATTGTCAGAGTAATTTTTTGAACCTATCATGATCAGTGCGTTCCATTATCAGCATAACAGTTGTCCATAATTTGTGGCAGCATTGATCCCATGTATTTGCATTCATAACATTATGTCATGTTTACATTTTAACACACATGTTTTTTTTTATTTCTAGGGGTTTATCTTATTTTCGATTCTGGTGGCCGAGCTTTGTTATAGATGGACACTGGCAGAAAGAATAATATTGCTTACAAGTTTCCCTCGCCTGATCTGATTTTTACTTCAAAACCTGGTTGCTTTGGCCACTTCGAGTAGTTTGAAAGATTTCAAGAAGGATTATGGGAAGATTCTGAATGTTCTTTGCACAGTTACAAAGTACAAGAGAAGTGCCATCCACACTCTGCTGCAGTTTTATGATCCTCCATTGAGATGTTTCATATTCCCAGATTATCTATTAGCTCCTACAATTGAAGAGTATTCACTCATTTTGGGATTACTAATCAAGAATCAACTGTCGTTCCATAATGCTATGGGGATTCCTGAGTCTAAGGACATTGTTGCTGCTCTTTATTTGAGAAAATCGGTGGTGGAAGCCAACCTTAAGGTTAACGGGAGCCTATCTGGTTTTCATTTGAGCTTCTTGGTGGGTGAGGCCAAAGTGTATGCTGGTGCTTGTAGTTGGAATACTTTCAATGCAATTCTTGCCCTTTGTGTCTATGGGATAGTCTTGTTTCCCAATGTAGCAGATTTTGTGGACATGAATGTTATTCGCATTTTCATGATGAAGAACCATGTGCCTACTCTCTTGGGTGATTTCTACCATTTTGTGCATTTTAAGAATGAAAAGAAAAGAGGTGGGCTTGTTCTTTGTTGCACCCCACTACTTTGCAAGTGGTTTATGAGTCACCTTTCTCATGTTAGTGCGTTTGTAGATACCAAAGATTCTTTGAAGTGGTCCAAGAGGCTGATGGGTTTGACCGCTAAGGATATCATTTGGTTCAATAGAAGATTTCTTGGCACTGAGATAATCTATAACTGCGGAGAGTTTCCCAATGTCCCTCTCATGGGGGTGAAGGGTTGTATCAATTACAACCCCTCTCTCTTTAGAAGACAGTTGGAGTATGCCTTGAAGTTTCCTCCAACGGATAAGGAAGTGGAAGAATCTCTGTTCTATCATGCATATGATAATCCTAAGCTAATGGGAAGGGATGTGAGCTCTTGGCATAAGA